TGTAAACCTTCGTAAAAATTAAAATCAATGACATAAAAACGGTCATATTTTTTACTACCTTTTAAGTTATATATTTTAATGCAGATAACAACATAATCATTCCACAAGACCGTAAAGGTATGCCATTCGAAGACCGAGATCATTTGACCAAGTTATTGGCTTTTAAAGATGGAAAGAAGGCCTATTTCAATAAACCTTCGCAAAATTAAATCAATAACATAAAAACGGTCATATTTTTTACTACCTTTAAAGTTATATATTTTAATGCAGATAACACCATAATCATTTCACAAGCCCATAAAGGTATGCCATATCGAATTCCGAGTTCATTTGACCAATTATGGGCTTTTAAAAAGGAAAGGAGGCCCATTTCAGTAAACCTTAGCAAAATTAAAATCAATGACATGAAAACGGTCATGTTTTGTACTACCTTTAAAGTTATTTATATTAATGCAGATAACAACATAATCATTCCACAAGCCCATAAAGGTATGCCTTATTGAAATCCGAGTTCATTTGACCAAGCTATGGGCTTCTAAAGATGGAAAGAAGGTCCATTTCAGTAAACCTTCGCAAAATTAAAATCAATGACATAAAAACGGTCATATTTTTTACTACCTTTAAAGTTATATATATTAATGCAGATAACAACATAATCATTCCACAAGCCCATAAAGGTATGCCTTATTGAAATCCGAGTTCATTTGACCAAGTTATGGGCTTCTAAAGATGGAAAGAAGGTCCATTTCAGTAAACCTTCGCAAAATTAAAATCAATGACATAAAAACGGTCATATTTTTACTACCTTTAAAGTTGTATATATTAATGCAGGTAAGAACATAATCATTCCAAAAGCCCATAAAGATGTGCCATATCGAATTCCGAGTTCATTTGATCAAGTTATGGGCTTTTAAAGATGGAAAGAAGGCCCACTTCAGTAAACCTTCGAAAAATTAAAATCAATGACATAGAAGCGGTCATATTTTTTAATACCTTTTGAGTTATATATTTTAATGCAGATAACAACATAATCATTCCACCAGCCCATTAAGGTATGCCATATCCAATTCCGAGTTCACTTGACCAAGTTATTGGCTTTTAAAGATGGAAAGGAGGCCAATTTATGTAAACCTTCGCAAAATTAAAATCAATAACATAAAACGGTAATATTTTTAACTACCTTTAAAGTGTAGTAGGATAAGTGTCTTGTATATATTTAAGTATAACTCTTTGTTGTAAATGTATATCAACAAGTATTTGAATGTAACGGCTAGCTGTTTAATAGTCGTTAGCATCTAAAGTATCTCCTGTTGTAAAGTGGCCAACCTGGCAACTCTAAAATGTTAAGTATCGATATTGATCGCAGCCAACTTCACGTAATCGTATGTAAAACCGACGCTATGTAAAACCAGCCAATTGCGAACAAGAAGTGAAGGAGAACAGTTTAATAAGTATAGCAGTTTATACTACTATAAACTTCAGAAGTGGTTCTGACCCATAAAATGGATCTAATTGATGTCCAAAGGTTCACGGTCGTCCAGCTCAAAAGGTGGTTGGCGGCATTAAACTTGCCGACGATCGGCAATAAGGCCGAACTGGCGGCACGACTAAATGGCTTGGACCCGCTAGTTCGTGGAACTCGCCCGGAGTCCCCACTGCCGCAGTACGCTGACAACGAGCTCCTGGCTGATCGGGCTCAGGAGTTAGAGCCGGAAGATGACTTGGGGGAGGATTTCTCTGCTGAGGATGCCAACCCTAGGTCGGAACTGATTCCTGCAGCGGCTTCAAGGCCCAAGGGAGACGAGTGGTTTGCTGTAGCCGAAGGAGTGTTGTCGCTACAACAAATACGCGCTGAAATCCAAGCTGGTAAGAAGGAGCTCCAGAACATTCTTGCACAAGTAAGAGCCGCGTCGCAAGCAGTTGGCAATGACGTCATCAACAGGCCGAAAACTGCAACCAAGCAGTGAGCAGCGAGGGAGTAAAGCGATCAGTGCAAGGCGAAAACTTCGAGGAAGCAGTTGGCGGAAAAATACCAAGCACCGATGGAAGTGCTGATATCGATAGCGAAACCGATATCGATGTAAGAAACAGTGTTGAGCAACAACGAGTGGCAGTTGTAAACAAAGGACTAGAAGCGCCAAATATGTCACTTTCATTTGCCAAGGAAATCATCATGGATTTTGATGGATCTTCTTGTGCAAACATTTGGACCCAGCAAGTACGCAACATTGCTGAAATGTACACCTGGATGCAGTGGGCATGAAGATGGTGATTGTGTCCAAACTGAAGGGTGTCGCTCAGCGCTGGTTGCATGCAAATGCAACGCGTATTATGGAGCCGGCAGAGAATCTTTTGGAACAGCTGATATTAGCATTCGGCGATAAGCTTTCAAAAGCAGAGGCACGACGCAAATTTGAAGATTTAAAGTGGCATCATTCCGAAAAGTTCGCGGTGTATTTTGAGGCAAAGACAATGCTAGCCAGCAGCATCAACATCGAACCGGACGAATTGGTTGATCAGATAGTCGAGGGAATACGAGCACAGAATTTGCGTGATCAAGCCCGGATCCAATGCTTCACAGATCCGATGCAAATTCTCCGTGCGTTTGCTGGTATCCGTTTGGACAAGCCAAAGGAGTTGGTGTCGAAGGAGCTGAACAGGAATAGGAGCGACAACGGAGGATTCCGCTGCGGTAATTGCAACGCCAGAGGACACATCGCTAAGGATTGTCGAAAGCCAGCAAGGGTGCCAGGATCCTGCTATGCTTGTGGCAAGTTCGGCCACTTCGTAGCCCAATGCGAGGAAAGGAAGGGAAATGCTGAAAATAAATATGTAAGGTGTATTAAAATTTATTTTGACAATCAAATTATATCTCCTATGGTTACAGCATGCATCTTAGACTCTGGCAGTCCAATTTCATTGATTAAATTATCTTTGTTGCCCAGGGAGGCCAAACTACATGAAGTTAAAGAACATTATTTTGGTATAAATAGAAGCCCATTACAAATCTATGGAAAAATTTTATGTTTTGTATTAAAAGAAAAAATAAAATGTTACTTCAATTTAACAGTTGTTGCCAATGAGTCTATGATGTATGATGTGGTTTTGGGTAGAAATTTCATGGATGCTTGCGATTTAAATTTAGATTTAAGAACTTTAAAGATGATAACTGTAGAAGATATATCAAAACATAACCCGACGAGTGCTACTAGTGATCTGTCGTTGCGCATTGCTGAAGTAAATCATAATATTGAGTGTTTAGATGACTATATAACCGAGAATGTTTTGGAATTGGCGACTGAAGCTGTAAAAGCGGAACATGCAGTCGTGAAAGATCATAATAAAAGAATAGGTCACAGGGCGATGATACAAAACAATGAAACAACGAGTCAAACAGTTACGAGACGAAACAATGAAACAATGAGTCAAACAGTTACGGGACGAAACAGTAAAACAATGAGTCAAACAGTTACGGGACGAAATAGTGAAAATGACGGTCAAACAGTTACGAGACGAAATAGTGGAAATATCGGTCAGACAGTTATGAGACTTAACAATGAAAAAACGGAATGTACAAATGTAAACAGGCAACTGGAAATGGACAATTTTGAAACCGAAATACTTAATATCGACTGTACAAACAACGAAACGATTGAATTTAACTGGGACAAAAGCACTACTTATCAAATACAATGTCGTTTCTTGAAAATAATTGAAAACAGTTATGTAAAAGCAACTAGACCTGAAAAGCCAATGATTAGAGCAGAAATGAAGCTATGCCTAGATAATGCAAAACCTTTCAGTTGTAGTCCGCGACGATTATCATATACAGAAAAGGATAAGCTTCAAAAATTACTAGACGAATATTTGAAAAGCGATATAATAAGACCAAGCGAATCAGAATTTGCATCTCCGATAGTATTAGTCAAGAAGAAAACAGGTGAAATTAGATTATGCATTGATAAAGCACTGCTAAAAGACAACTACCCACTGCCACACATCGATGATTTATTAGATAAATTAGTTGACAAAAAAGTATTCTCGAAGTTAGATCTTAAAAATGGATATTTTCATGTTTTTGTAAATGAAGAATCTGTCAAATATACTTCATTCGTGACTCCACTAGGACAATTTGAATTTTTAAGAATGCCAATGGGTATCAAAAACGCACCGGCTGTTTTTCAACGCTTTGTTAATAACATTTTTGTTGACATGATTAGAAACAACAAAGTAGTAGTGTACATGGATGATATAATGGTCGCCAGCAAAGATATTAATGAGCATTTGGAAACATTAGAAGAAATTTTTAAAAGGCTTACACAGAACAGATTAGAACTTAGAATGGATAAATGTGAGTTTTTAAAATCAAATATAAAGTATTTAGGATTTTTGATTTCCGAGAATGGCATCAGGGCAGACGATAAGGGCATTGAAGCCGTAAAAAATTTTCCAGTTCCCTCCAAGGTACAGGCAGTACAAAGTTTTTTGGGACTTTCTTCATATTTTCGAAGGTTTATAAAGGATTTCTCTACAATAGCAAAACCTTTGTACGACCTGTTAAGGAAAGACAAACCATTTCAATTTGGTGAAGTAGAGATGAATTGTTTTCTCAGTCTAAAGGAAAAACTTATTGAGTCACCAGTACTAGCGTTATATAATTACAAAGACGATACAGAATTACATTGTGACGCCAGCGCTCTAGGATTTGGTGCAGTACTGTTACAAAAGAAAGATGATGGCAAGTTACACCCTGTATTCTATTTCTCTAAGCGTACTACAGCAGATGAGGCTAAATTACATAGTTTTGAACTCGAGACTTTAGCGGTTATTTATGCTCTTCGTAGATTTAGGATATATTTGCAAGGAAAGCATGTGAGACTAGTAACCGACTGTATTGCACTTAAGTTAACACTTAATAAGGCAGAACTTAATCCGAAGATATCGAGATGGGCCTTGGAGATGGAAAACTATGATCTTGAGATATGTCACAGGGCTGGAAACAAAATGCAACATGTGGATGCTCTCAGCAGGTATAATAATATTCTAATAGTAGAAACCAACAGTTTTGAAGAAAATTTAGTCATTTGTCAAGGAAAAGACTTAAGAATTAAGAAGCTTAAAACCGTTTTAGAGAAAGCAGAACTTAAATTATTTGAAATGAGAAATGGTGTAGTGTACAGAAAAGCAAATGGCAATAGAATACTGTTTTACGTGCCAGAAGAAATGGAAAATCAGGTACTATATAAATATCATAACGAAATAGGACATGTAGGAAGAGATAAAATGATGGACATAATTTCAAAAACGTATTGGTTTCCAAGCTTGAAAGAAAAGTGTGTTGCGCATATAGAAAATTGTTTAAAATGTGTAGCGTTTTCACCAAAATCAGGTAAAGGAGAAGGTTTTTTGAACAGTATTCCCAAGGGAAGCAAACCATTCGAGTTAATACACATTGACCATTATGGTCCAGTAGACTCATCGAGAGCAAAAAAGCATATTTTTGTGGTAGTCGACGGATTTACGAAATTTGTAAGACTCTATTCAACTAAATCAACAAGTACTAGGGAGGTAATAACGGCATTAAAAGATTACTTTAGGGCATACAGTCGTCCAAAATGTATAGTTTCAGACCGCGGTAGTTGTTTTACGTCTAAGGACTTCGAAGAATTCATGGAAGAGTATAATGTGAAGCATATCAAGATAGCCACAGGCTCACCACAGGCAAATGGTCAAGTCGAAAGGATTAACAGGAGCCTTGGACCAATGATAGCAAAATTAGTTGATCAAAGTAAAGGTGTATACTGGGACAATGTTATAGATAAAATAGAACATGCTCTTAATAATACGTTGCACAGAAGTATAAGACAACTTCCGAGTAAAATGCTGTTTGGAGTAGAACAAAAAGGAAAGATTGTTGATGAACTTAAGGAAAAGCTAGAGGACATAAATGAAAATACAAAATTAGATAGTTTAGCACAAATAAGAAAAAAAGCTGCGACCCACCAAAAACAAGTTCAAGATTATAACGAAAAATTATATAATAAAAGACGTGTAAAGGCTAAAGGGTATAAAAAAGGAGACTATGTAATGGTGAAGAATTTTGACTCGACTGTTGGGACTGCTAGGAAACTGATTCCCAAACATAAGGGACCATATGTGATTGCAAAAGCGATGCGCAATGACAGGTTTTTATTAAAAGACGTCGAAGGGTTTCAATTAGCACGAAATCCTTATCTAGGTGTTTGGAGTGCCCAAAATTTAAGACATTGGATAAAGAATAAAAATAAAAGTAAAAAACAAAAATAAAAATAAAAATGTAAAGTATAACAAGAAAATGAAACTTATGTAACCATAACCATAACCATAGATATAATAAGCATAACTTTTAAATCAATATATCTTGATCAGGTGATCAACCAGTCAGGATGGCCGAATTGTAGTAGGATAAGTGTCTTGTATATATTTAAGTATAACTCTTTGTTGTAAATGTATATCAACAAGTATTTGAATGTAACGGCTAGCTGTTTAATAGTCGTTAGCATCTAAAGTATCTCCTGTTGTAAAGTGGCCAACCTGGCAACTCTAAAATGTTAAGTATCGATATTGATCGCAGCCAACTTCACGTAATCGTATGTAAAACCGACGCTATGTAAAACCAGCCAATTGCGAACAAGAAGTGAAGGAGAACAGTTCAGTGTAATAAAGTGTTTAATAAGTATAGCAGTTTATACTACTATAAAAGTTATATATTTATTAGTGCAGATAACAACATAATCATTCCACAAACCCATAAAGGTATGCCATATCGAATTCCGAGTTCATTTGACCAAGTTATGGGCTTTTAAAGATGGAAAGGAGGCCCATTTCTGTAAACCTTCGCAAAATTAAAATCAATGACATAAAAACGGAAATATTTTTTACTACCCTTAAAGTTATATATTTAAATGCAGCTAACAACATAATCATTCCACAAGCCCATAAAGGTATGCCATATTGAAATCCGAGTTCATTTAACCAAGTTATGGGCTTTTAAAGATGGAAAGAAGGTCCATTTCAGTAAACCTTCGCAAAATTAAAATCAATAACATAAAAACGGTCATATTTTTTACTACCTTTAAAGTTATATATTTATTAATGCAGATAACAACATAATCATTCCACAAACCCATAAAGGTATGCCATATCAAAATCCGAGTTCATTTGACAAAGTTATGGGCTTTTAAATATGGAAAGGAGGACCATTTCTGTAAACCTTCGTAAAATTAAAATCAATGACATAAAAACGGTCATATTTTTTACTACCTTTTAAGTTATATATTTTAATGCAGATAACAACATAATCATTCCACAAGACCGTAAAGGTATGCCTTTCGAAGTCCGAGATCATTTGACCAAGTTATGGGCTTTTAAAGATGGAATGAAGGTCCATTTTAGTAAACCTTCGCAAAATTAAAATCAATGACATTAAAACGGTCATATTTTTTACTTCCTTTAAAGATTTATATATTAATGCAGATAACAACATTATCATTCCACAAGCCCATAAAGATGTGCCATATCGAAGTCCGAGTTCATTTGATGAAGTTGTGGGCTTTTAAAGATGGAAAGAAGGCCCATTTCAGTAAACCTTCGCAAAATTAAAATCAATGATATAAAAACGGTCATATTTTTTACTACCGTTAAAGTTGTATATATTAATGCAGATAAGAACATAATCATTCCACGAGCCCATAAAGATGTGCCATATCGAAGTCCGAGTTCATTTGATGAAGTTGTGGGCTTTTAAAGATGGAAAGAAGGCCCATTTCAGTAAACCTTCGCAAAATTAAAATCAATGACATAAAAACGGTCATATTTTGTACTACTTTTAAAGTTGTATATATTAATTCAGATAAGAACATAATCATTCCACGAGCCCATAAAGATGTGCCATATCGAAGTTGTGGGCTTTTAAAGATGGAAAGAAGGTCCATTTCAGTAAACCTTCGCAAAATTAAAATCAATGACATAAAAAC